ATATATATATATATATATATATATTTTATTATTTTTTTTTAGGGAAAATATTTTCGTTTAAAAAATATATATACCGACAGTTTATTAAAATTTACATTTAACATGTTGTCACGTCAATTTATCTAATTATTTCTTATTATTAAAAAAACACTCTTTATCTCTATTTAAAAAGAAATAATAAAAATGTGATGATAAGAATTATATAGGCTAAATTGTAATTATTATGTCTTTATTTTTGTCAATTCAAGAATCGCAATTTCAAATTTTTTATTTTAAAATAGGGATATCTAATCTCTTTAATTTTAAAAATATTAATATTCATTAATTAATAAATTGACATTTTTCACTAACATGTTACACCTAAGTAATACAATATTAAGCTACGTGTAACGACCTAGCTGGTCACTACACACGGCACAGCATACTAGAAACACCGCATAAAAAAGAACAACTGTATACATATAGAGTCTAGAATATACATATACATGGTCAAATCTGAACAGAGTTAAAGTGTAACAAAAATTACAATCAAATGCTACTATCCCAAGTAGCTCAACAACAAAACAGACACAAAAGAAAATCAGCTCTGCCGCTCCGCTGAAGACTCACCACTAGTCACCCACCTATCCCTGTCCTGCTCCCATACATAGTATGATCATTGCAATTCAAACATCATGGAAACAACAAAGGGTAAGCTAGTGTAATTAAAATCAACATACAAATATAACAGTATGATAAACAAGAGCTACAGTTATCGGCACACCTGTACAACATCAACTTAAAATCCCACAACATTCAGCAATAACAACACCACTCAAGTGGCTATAACAGCACCGCAAAGCGGCTATAATATCACACAACTCAGCACAGCACAGCACAACACAACACAGCAATTCAACACATTTATTTTTTTCACAATTCAGCCCAACCTTCTATAGTTCCACTATACTATAAAATTTTACATTTTAATTCATCGATTTCAGCTCAACAATATACCTCTAATACAGCTACACATTATTTTCTCAGTACCATCACCTAGTCATCACAGCATATTCATCAAATACAACTTAGTTCAGCATATAACAACATTGATTTACAATCTCAGCACAATTCAACAGCCAACAGCATATATTTCAATATCTCCTTTCGCGCCCGGCGCACTCGAGGTCGCGCCCAGCGCGGCTCAACCCGAGAGCACCAGGGGCTAGCGCGCCCAGCGCAAGAGTACTCGTGCCCGGTGAGACTCAATCCGAGAGTCCAAGGCTCTCACGCGCCTGGCGCAATTCCAATTGTGCCCAGCGCCTGCCCGGCAGAGACTCTAAGGAGTCTCGTGCGCTTAACGTGGCCTAACCCGCGCCCAGCGTGGGGAAGGCAGAGACCTACCAAGGTCTCGCGCCCGACGCAATTC